TGTATTATAACAATCTTTAAATTAAAGCCAGCTTTGGTTTACCCAATAATTTTCATTAAAATGAATGAGAAAGCATACTGGTGAACCATGAGGTTAATAGTTGACAGTGAGGCATTCTAGTTTACAGACATACTATGCTCAAATTTGAAATTAGAAAACTGCTACACAGTCTATTTGTAAATATGAAATAAACATGTTTTGACTTCAAACAAAGAAGATATGTATAAAATTATTCTACACACTAAACTAAAGATGGTTACAATATAAATATATAGTGTCATTAAAAAAACCTGGCATTTTTATTAATGACCAACTTCTCTTGTTCCCATACATAGCTTATTCATTCCTTTATTGGAATTGAGACATAATAATTTCATAGATATAATGAATTTATTTGATTAAAATATTTTACTCAAGGATGAACATAAGCATGAGTAACTAGTTTATTTCAGTTGATTAAGTGGTAGTTACACAAAATATAGAATATTAATGGAATTCTTATAAATATTAAAGCATGATATGTGCATTGTACATATTTACTTTGTTATCATAAATGTTTCGATTATATAATCGATGATTGATCGAAAAAGGTTGTTCGATTATTTTCGATGATCGATTATGATTTTTGTCCGATTAAGAAACCCTAAATACTGTATAGCATGATAGGAAACCCTCATCTGACTGTCAGGTTATTAAAGGACAGTTTTATACTACATGTATATACCATTGAAAAATCAACTACTTTGTAAACAACAGAATAATTAATGTCATCTTAAACACTCATTCTGTTAGTGATAATATCATAATATTCACTTATATGCAAGTGATAATGTTAAGATAAACACTCATTCTGTTAGTGACAATATCAAGATAAACACTCATTTTTTGTGACATTGTCAAGATAAACACCCATTCTGTTAGTGACATTGTCAAGATAAACACTCATTTTGTTAGCTTGACTATTCGAAGAATATGAGAGCTATTGTAGTCGCCCCGGCGTCGGTGTCGGCGTCAGCGTCCGCGTCGGCGTCTGCGTTGGTTAAAGTTTTTTGTAAAGTCAAATATCTCAATCATTACTTGAGATATTCAATTGAAACTTACAATACTTATTTATAGTAACAAGGTACATCATATTGACAAGTTCGATAACTCTGCCTACAATATTGACAGAATTATGCCCCTTTTTAACTTAGAAATTTTGGTTAAAGTTTTTTGTAAAGTCAAATATCTCAATAATTACTTGAGATATTCAATTGAAACTTACAATACTTATTTATAGTAACAAGGTACATCAGATTGACAAGTTAGATAACTCTGCCTACAATATTGACAGAATTATGCCCCTTTTTAACTTAGAAATTTTGGTTAAAGTTTTTTGTAAAGTCAAATATCTCAATAATTACTTGAGATATTCAATTGAAACTTACAATACTTATTTATAGTAACAAGGTACATCAGATTGACAAGTTAGATAACTCTGCCTACAATATTGACAGAATTATGCCCCTTTTTAACTTAGAAAATTTGGTTAAAGTTTTTTGTAAAGTCAAATATCGCAATTATTGCTTGAGATATTCAATTGAAACTTACAATACTTATTTATAGTAACAAGGTATATCAGATTGACAAGTTGGATAACTCTGCCTACAATATTGACAGAATTATGCCCCTTTGGAACTTAGAAATTTTGGTTGAAGTTTTTTTGTAAAGTCAAATATCTCAATTATTGCTTGAGATATTCAAATGAAATTTAAAATACTTTTTTATAGTAACAATGTACATCAGTTTGCAAAATTGCATAACTCTGCCTGCAAAATTTGAAGAATTATTTGCCCCTTTGAAACTTAGAAATTTTGATTAAAGGTTAAAGGTCTTCAAAGATATTTACTTGAAACTTTACACATGCACTTAGGGTCATAATTGGAGGGTCATAATTGTATGTCACTGACCAAGTTCCATAACTCTATCTTGCATTAAGGCTGATTCATATCCCCTTTTCTACTTAGTCTCTTGGTTAATGTTTACATGCAAGTTTTACATATCTCAATAACTATTAAAGATATTTATTTAAAACTTCACATATGCATTTAGGGTCATAATTGTAGGTCACTGACAAAGATCCATAATTCTGTCTTGCATTTAGGCTGATTTTTCTCCCCTTTTTCAACTTAAAAATTCATGGTAAAGTTTTGCTTGTAAGCTGTTATCTCAATTACTACTGAAGGGTTTGTGCCCTTTTTGGGACAATTTTATGCATTCATAATAATAAAGCAGTGATTTACTTGATAAAACATCTTAATTAGAAGCCTATGTACCTTTTCTGTCAAATTTATGTATTCATAGGTAATTAGTATTATTATACTCAATAAAACAACCTTGTGACATTACCTTCCGAATAGTCAAGCCAATACTGTATAATTAGACTCTCTCTAAGGCCTATAACATGAATTTATTAAAAAAAATTAGACCTTTTGTGATGTTAAAAAATTTAACATTATCAAGGCTCTTTTACTATCAAGCACTTAGAATAGTCGAGCGTGCTGTCCTACTGACAGCTCTTGTTAGTGACATTGTCAAGATAAACACTCATTCTGTTAGTGACATTGTCAAGATAAACACTCATTCTGTTAGTGATAATGTCATGAGAAACACTCATTTTGTTAGTGATAATAACATGATATACACTGTAAGTGACAATAACATGATAAACAATGTCACAATAAACACTTGTCTAATTTTTTAGTGATAATATTCATGATAAATACTTTTAGTGACAAAGTCATGATATCGCTCACTGTGTTAGTGATAATTTCAAGATGAACACTCATTTTGAGAGCAACAATGTCATGATAAACACTCTTTCTATTAGTGATAATGTCAAGATAAACACTCATTCTGCTAGCAACAATGTCACTATAAACAAACATTCTTTTAATGAAAACGCATTGTCATTCCATTAATGGCTTGTCATGATATTTGTAATATGTTTGTAATAATGTCATGATAGATACTTATTTAGTTAGGGTTTAGTGTCTGTATTAAAACTATACGTGTATTTACATGTATTGAAAAGATCAGACTTGTACCAGACTCTGTGCTGATTAATATCCTTTATACGTACATGGAACTTTTATGTCCATCAGATTCTGCCATTGAATGTCCTATGCTTCTGTCATTTTTGTTTCCATCTGAACAGTGCATTTAAAGTTTGATAATTTGATGTATAAAATTGGCAGTGACTTAGCTTCTCTTTAGGAAGTTGCAAGACTGCAATTGCAAAAATGCAAAATTGATGGTTTTATGATAATTGACATTCTGTCAGAGACCAATGGTGGCACAGTTTGAACTCTGTTTTGTTGTAGAATAGTTATCATATAATTAGTTGAAGATGCAAAGCACTGTCTTGCATATAAGTCTTCTCATAGGGTGTCTAATATATTGTTGAATGCCTAAAAAACAATACTGGTTTGGCCATATGTTATGCATGTTAAGTATCTGTAAATAGAGCCCAGGTAAGAAGGGCATGCACACTGTTATTTAATACTATAGTAGGCCAAAATCTGTTTGTACCTAGTTATCAAGCAAAACAAAAGAAAGGTGCTATTAGGTCAGCTTTTATATTTCGATATTGAAAATACACACTGGCACTAAATTATTTACTTAACAAATGAAGTCTGTTTTTATAAAACAGTACATTAAAAGCATTGTAGATTATTGGAAAATTTTGGATAAATAGAAAACTGGATACAAACTTTTTTGTGACCTTGTGAGAACTATTTATTGGAATGAGCTGTTAAAGAACTGAAAATATATAAATGATGTTACTGACTGTTATAAAATAGATTTGTCTGAGATACATTACAGTTATCGGAACTTGATGATATTTGACGAAAATCTGGTGGTGGTCTTGCCATTTGAAGTAAATAATTTATGTATTTTCAGTTTTTGGGGGCCAAGCTCTACATCTTATGACAATTACAACTGATGCTTTGTAAACTGCTTGCTGCAGGCTTTTGCATAACAGACATTCGATGCTTCCCAAATTACCTCTCTGTCCAGTTCTGTAGATAATTGAAACTTTAGATATAGACTTACTGTGATGATTGTGTCTATTATTTGTTTTGCTGTGATAATTTATGGCGATCATACTTAATTATGTCATTATCATTAGGGTGGTTTTTATCATTCATAATAATTATATCAGCATCATAATGTAGGTAAATATATTGTTTCCTCAATCATCATGCCTACCTGATACTCTTAACCAGTCTAATTGTTTGAATTTTATAGACTGGTTTTAAGAAATTGTTTTTAAATATAGTTCTAATGACAACAAAAGATGCAACTAGTAAACCAGTCTTTGTACTGAATTTTTTGTTTTTATGGACTGGTATTCAGAAATTAGTAAGTGTCTAATGTAGGCAAAGATGCAACTGGTAAACCAGTCTTTGTTTTTGATTTTATATAGACTGGAATTCAGAAATTAGTAAGTGTCTATAATTTATATAGGCAAAGATGCAAATGGTTAACCTGTCTTTGTTTTTGATTTTATATAGACTGGTATTCATAAATTAGTAAGTGTCTAATGTAGGCAAAGATGCAACTGGTAAACCAGTCTTTGTTTTTGATTTTATATAGACTGGTATTCAAAAATGAGCTCTTAACTTCAGATTTCCCAGTGGTGATCAAGATAAACGGTAAAGAAGTCCTTGTATAATTCCCACTCACATCTGACATAGAAATTTACCCATCACATAGCATGTTGTTGTTGTTTTTCATTGCTGTTGTTGATTTCATAACAATATAGATGTTGTTTATTTATTTATTTTGTACTTTAAGCATTGTTTTATAGTCTATATGGGCTTTATGGTTTTAGATGTATTATAATATTATATCAATATAGTGTCACCACAAACTTGGATTGAAAAAAGGATGTGCAAGTGACTGTGGTATTGAAGGGCATCTTGACTTTTAAGAATTTGATTAGAATTACTTTCCCAAAACTATGAAATTTAGTCATAGTAAACATACATGTCAGTGTAATGGATGATGACTGTATGTCAAATTGCATGCCAAATATGTGTATCTCCATTCATTTTTATATCACATCTTTCTATTTTTGCATGCCTATATACTGTATATGTAACCAAATTACTCAATGTATCAATCATTCAACATTATATTGTATTATCGATTTTAAATGGACTTTTACATAAACATCTTTGTTGGTCACAAGACTTTTACGACATACTTTTTAACTTCAGATTAACAGACATTCTAGATGTACCATCGATAAACCCCCTGTCTGGGTAAAAAAATGCTTAAATAGGCTATTTTTAGTAATACTTTTCTTTTGATTATAACAACCTAACAGCTGTATGGCCACAAACAGCTTCCTGAAGGAATGAATTTAATTTTCTAAATGAACAACAAACCAAACCCAGTAATGATAAAATTTGTTGATAAATTGAGATCTGTATTGGAATATTTATTTTTATCAAATTTTTTCCCCGATTGGTTGCTATTTTTAGATTTTTTGCTGAATGATAAGTTATTTTTAGCTAGCCAATGAAAACTGATTCTATAAGAAGAATAGTAGGTGATTGGATTATTGTGTCATTTAAATTAATATGCGTCAGTGATTATGCTTAAATGATTGATAATGCATAATGTTGGGTTATATATATTTATGAAATATAAAGATGAATAATAATTGCTGTTTGAAAGGCCAAACTAGGTGTTCGGGGTACATAAATATTTCTCAAATAATAGCTTTATCTGTTGTTTTTATTGTATTTACTGAGTTATTGTACATGTACTTGGAATTTCTTTTAACATTTTTGCAGTAATATTTAAGATTTTAGTAATGGTGATTTATTATATTTAATGTGATTTTTCATGTTGCAAAACTACATGTATTAACATGTTTAAAGATTTTAATTTTTGATTATTCTAATTAAATTTATCTTTCCTTTTCATCTTTGGATTAACTGTTGTTATTTTTTAGTAGATATTAAAAGTTTAATATTTAAGTTTGCATTGTAATTAATTAGATGTATTATACATGTGATGAACGCAAAACTGCAGTATTACTTATAAAATAAAGAAGGACTTGCAACAGTTTTGTAGTCAGCCCTTTAATTTTGTATTGTAAGTTTTGCTAGACATTTATAATAATGTGCATGATAATGTTTTGATATGTTGTCTGGAGTGGTTTTAAATAATATATTTTATTTACTTATAACTTAGGGAATATTGTTACTTGTTTATTTAATAGATTGATCTCTTATCATTATTTTATATATATTTATATAATACATTTTATTTTGGTTTTTTTATGGCTAGTTTTTGTTTGAAATAAATACTTTTTTATAAAAATTGGTGCAAGTGTTATTGTTAGTTATGACAAAGAAGTTGAGCTGCCTACCCAATTAGTAGGAAAGTGTAATGGTTTTAAAGCTATGTGAAAAGAGATAACTATGTTCTAGTTCATGTGATAACTTTGATTTAAATGTCTGAGAACCAAATTTATCACCCCTTGCGGCTGAGGGGACACCTTTTCAAATTGAGGCATCAGAATTGAAGCTTTCTTTTAACCCATCTTGTATTCTTTCCTGTGAGAGATTGAGCGTTCATGTTAACTTTTTGGATCATCAGATGATATACCAATATGCCTGAAATAATGCAAAGAGAGACAGTATAACAAAATATTGAATTCTTGCTCCCACATTATTAGTTGCTTTATATAAACCAAATGACAAGATTTAGTGGGGTTTCCTTTGAAAGTTAGGGGTACAGTTTAGTTCTATTTCTTATACTGTAAAATGATGGGTAATTGGACCTAACTTTGAGCTGCTTACAATCAAGAAAATTTGGGTCACAATTTTTGTATGCCAAAGAAGAATGATTAATGTCACTAATTTCATTACAATATTTTATATGTAACAGTCTGAAATGAAAATACTATAAAATACTGTTAGATATAGTAAACTGTTTGTTGAAAATAACATAATTGTGGTTTTAAAGACATGAATTGTTTTATTTAGATTTGCATTGTTTCTTAAAAGGAACTAGCTTAATTCTTATAACAAATTTTAAAGAGCTATTGAATGTCAGAAACATGTATTGTTTAGGTTGGTTGGAGAAAAAAGATAATCTGACGTGTGAAGCCAAGGCTGACAGAAAATTTAAGCATTACTACCATTAATATTGTTAACATTATTAGTTTAAACAGTATTAATCTGAGCTTGATTGTTTAACCACATCTTGCAACTAAATGTTACTCACAATGAAGGGATATCATTATTAAGATTTACATATTGTATTATCATTTATCGTTATTCTTATTGTTATTTCATTACTGTTTATTACTCAAAATATACATTTATAGTTATATCATGATTTTATATATTACGAGGACTGTTTGATTTTACAGGACATACGTGACAGGGGGAGGAGGTTTAGGTGGTCAGATGAGCTCAATAGACGAGGCATATAACTTCTTCGCCACAAGAAACCCTCTTGATCTGGATGTTGGAGGTGAGTTTATTAAAAAAATATATCGGTCTGAGCGGTGTTTATCGGCTTTTTAACAACTGATTTGGAGTTTTGATGCATAGGAATTGACTACGAAGGCCATGCCATTGGTTTTGGGTTTTTTTGCATCAAAATGACATGTCCGGTTTTTAAAATATACTGTTTATACTTTAGATATTTACAATCCAAATAATGATTCACATGGAAAATAGGATTATAAGGATTATAAATTGTTAACCAGGTTTTCCGAAGGAAAAAACTGGTTATTAGATTGAGGTATGTCGGCGGCGCGGCGGGCGGGCGGGCGTAAACAATTTCTTCTGTGCGCAACTCCTCCTACATTTCTCAACGGATTTTGACCAAACTTTCTCAGAAGCTTTGTCATCAAGTGCACTGACACATATTGTCGGGGTTTTGCGATTAGATAATATTTGACCTAATTATGGCCCTTGTGTTTTTTTCCTTATATAAAATATATATAGTGAACAATTTCTTCTGTGCGCAACTCCTCCTACATTTCTCAACGGATTTTGACCAAACTTTCTTAGAAGCTTTGTTATCAAGTGCCTGGCACATATTGTCGGGGTTTTGTGATTGGATAATATTTGACCGCATTATGGCCCTTTGTATATTTTTTCCTTATACAGAATATATTAGAGAACAATTTCTTCTGTGCTCAACTCCTCCTACATTTCTCAACGGATTTTGACCAAACTTTCTTAGAAGCTTTGTTATCAAGTGCCTGGCACATATTGTCGGGGTTTTGTGATTGGATAATATTTGACCAAATTATGGCCCTTTGTATATTTTTTCCTTATACAGAATATATAGTGAACAATTTCTACAGTGCGCAACTTCTCCTACATTTCTCAATGGATTTTGACCAAACTTTCACAGAAGCTTTGTCATCAAGTGCCCTGGCGCTCACTAAATTCCCATGTTTCTTCCAAGACATCATTCAAGTATTTTTTTAAAATTGTGAACATACTTTTCTTGATATCGCACAAAACACCACACGCCAATATTGTTGACAAAAGAAAATGACAAGAGACGCAAAAATGCAAAAATTAAGCAAAAATAAAGTACTGTTTACCTTTCAAAAACATTTGGGAAAAAAAGGCGAATAGACAACATAAAATTTCTCAATCATTTTTGTTTGAGGAATATTAAAAAAGCCATAATTCCTCCTAAAAGTTCAATTAAAAACAAATGCCCCTTCATGACAAAGCTTCTGTGAAATATTTTGCTGAAAACCTGGTTGCATCGCATTGCGATGTTCCTTGTTATTGTTTAATCTCTATTTCTATTACAATAACAGAGTAGTGGCCATGCTGTAAGTTAACTGTTCTTTACATCCATTGGTACAATGTAAACCTCCATCTTTAACCTTTAGGTGGTGGTATAGGAGCTGGCATACCAAACTATAATACTGGTGGTGATTATGGAGGGGGTGGGGGCTACCAGCGGTCGTCACCGACCCCAAGAGTCACATTTGCTGATGAAGGACCCCCATCAACGTAAGACTTAACTTTCTACAAGTCATGTACTTTATAGAATATGAATGAAATGTGTATTTAGTGCAAGAATAGTAATTTGACATAAAATAAACAAAATGTATTATTAAAGTGAATTGGTCTATAACTGAGGGTCTGTAATTCCAGAGATAAGTATGTTGATAGTATATAGTGCCATTCATGATAACAATCAAAGAAATAATCATATATGGATGTTGAGCTTAAATTGAGAGATACATGGATGTTGTTGTTGTTAATTGTGAGATACATGATCAAATAAAACATATCTTAATATATGAAATAAATGATTGTTCTAAAACAAATACTGTTTTTCATCATATTAATATCAAAATAAAACCTCTTAGAACTTTATCAACATATTTTCTTAGAAATTTAACAAAGAAATAGAAATATTTTGGTAGACTATCCAACTAAAATATTTTGTTGTTTTTTATCAATATTTGAAGTACTTATTGAAAATGTGCCCATTGTAGACCAATTCACTTTAAGCTTATAGTAAATTAATGGTCACATATTCTGGTACAGCATCTATTACAGGCCTATGAAAAATTTTGGCATGCCATTAATTGTGTCCAATAACACACACATATCACAAAAAATAAATTTGAAATAAAAGTTTCTGATATGATTCATTTTAAATCTCAGATGGCTAATAGCGATTATAACTTGAATGTTTAGCCAGTGTATAGTCAAGCCCGAGTCTGCATATCTGTCCAGCCTATTATTGGGGGGCTGCCTATTTTTAGCATCCTGATTTAAAAGCACTTTCAAAATTACAATGGACTGTTTCAAATTCAAAATAGGGCAAAACCATTATACAGCTTATTTCAAGAAATTATTGTAACCATGTCATAGCAGAACTAGTCAGTTATATAATATAATTGAGCTGTGTCACCACAAAACCAACATAGTGCGTTTTCGACCAGCATGGATCCAGACCAGCCTACGCATCCGCTCAGTCTGATCAGGATCCATGCTGGTCGCTATCAGTTTCACTACTTGTTATAGACTTTGTAAGCGAACAGCATGGATCCTGATCAGACTGCGCGGATGCGCAGGCTGGTCTGGGTCCATGCTGGTCGCAAACGCACTATGTTGGTTTTGTCGTGGCGCAGCTCATATGTATATGCTGTATAAATTGATGTACAGTAAACTTCACTTATAGCGAACACGGTTATAGCGAACTTCCGGTTATAAGGAACAATTTATTTTGGCCCGAATTTTGCCCTTCTTTATCTAATATAAAAATATACGGTTACAGCGAACACGGTTATAAGGAATTATCGCTTATAAGGAACTCATTTCTTAGTCCCAATTTAGTTAAAAGTACAAAAAATTACACTTTTATAACGAACTCCAAAAATCGGCTATTCGTAAAATATATCCCGCATTTTCAACTGGCACGGAATAAAACTCGCGGAATGTACCGTTTATTGTTGTATGTAATTCAATATATGAAAATGATTTTGTATAGAAGTATGTAATAGTTTTTCAATTTAGGACATGTTTAGCTTGAGTTCTTGTCACAAAGAAAAAACGGTAATTCCTTTTATTCTATTAATTTCTTTTCTTTTAATAGTTTTGCTCGAGTAAAATAATTATCGGTTTTCAACATAATCACGCATGCTTGCAAACATAATCCATAGAAAACTACAAAGTATGGCTTGATTGAAATGAAAAGAAATCTTTATATTTCATAAGTTAAAGTCACCCTTAAAATATAATAGAAGATATTCAATATAAAAGAAGAAAAATGGGAAAATCTTGTTTATTCTTATTCATTGAAAGAAAACGAAAAAACACTGAGTTAAGAAACAAAATATGAACGTTTTATGAAAAATTGAGAAAGAGAGTAAAACTAAAACCTGAAATAGCTAAGGATTTTTCAAATTCCAAAATGTACGCTCTCGGGTATTGTGTCTAAAAAGAATAAATGACTAATTATTCTTTAATCAAATCCTCTTAAAAATGGCGGCCCGATGTTTAACAATCAGTTCGATATATATGTAAATCTTTCGCTATAAAAACTCCTAATACAAGGAACTAATTCGCTATATGCTTACAAGGAACTCCGGATATAAGGAACATATTTTGTATGTCCCAATGAGTTCGTTATAAGCGGAGTTTACTGTATACTTTTTTATACGCTCGTTTGAAAAATGGGTTGTATTATGGAAATGCCCCTGGCAGCGGCTTCAAATTTTATCTGGATCATATCTTCTAAACACATGGGGGGATTTTATGAAACTTGTCAGTAATATACATGTATATTCTGTATATATAAATACATACTTTATTTCTATATCGTAGAAGACTCGTACAGAAGTAAGGGAACGTATATCACCCAATATCCAGTTTGGAGACGAGACTGAACAAAGGTCAAGGTCACGATCAGAAAACCCAAAACTATGGTGCTGAACTAGAACGATCAGGTGATGGTCTTCATTTACGGTGTCATGTTTTAGTGTTGATTTATTTTGTTAGGGCTTTGAGGTTATAGAGAATACAGTTACAGTTTTACACATTATGCCTCAAAACAAAAATAAAAATATTCAATAATTTGAAAGGCAAACTTAATTTTTAATTTTTTAAAAATGGTTTTTGAGCAAATTGAAAATGCTTTCACCTAAAAAATAGTGCTGAGTGTGAAATTATTAAATAAAATATCAAAATTTTTAAACAAAGTATATTTTGTAGTCAATACTAAAACTTTTTGAAAAATTAACGGGGTGAAACTATAAAAGGGCACCAAAAAAAACTTTTTAGAAATGAAATAAAACCCTTCGTGCTAATGGGCCTTTAAATTTAATAATTAAAAAAATTTGGGTTTTTATTACTAGCTTATCAAATTTTAAAAGTGACTAACATTTTCTTAAAACAACAGCAGTGTTTTTTTCTTTATAAAATAATACAACTAATTTAATGTTTTCATGAAATTTGGGGGGTTTAAAAGGGATTTTAGTGTAAATTTAGAAAACTAAAACACAGATAGGATTTTTTTTTACTATTTTTTTTAATTTTGGACTTTTTTAACAAAAATTGTACATTTAAATAAAAAATATAAAACTCAAAAAAAAACCAAAAAAAAAAACAAAACTTTTTATAAAAGAATCAAAAATTCGTTTTGTTTTTAATTTTTTTCAATTCAGGCAAAAAAGAATGAAAGAAAAATGAGAAAAAAAAGGGAAACAAAAAAGGGTAAAAATATGCATTAAAATCTCTCAATTGTAATGATTTTACGTTTTTGTTTTTGCCAAATTTTTTTGTCCCAAAAAAAGATTAAAGAGGGGGTTCGGGTCAAAATTTTAAACCTCCCTTTTTAAATCAGTACATTTTTTGAAACACCCCCCCCTTCACTAAAAATGTACTTATTTTGTTTTTTCCTTATAATGTTGAGTTTTTCCAGTTTAAAAAAGGGGACCGGTCCATTTAAGAAATAAATTATGGTATGTGTAAAGGGTAAATTTTAGTGCAAGGAGTTTTTTTTCTGAAAGATTTTTAAAACCCTTTCAGTTTGATTTTGGGGGTCATTAATATATCAGGTGTGCGCAAAAAACCATCATTTTGGGGCCCAAAAATTTTTGTATATTTATAAATAAAAATTAGGGGGTTGTTTTTAAAAATTTTTCCCTTTGCTTTTTCCCTTTAAAATTGCCCTTTAAAAAAAATTAAATGCTATAAAAATATTGGGCAAAAATTTAATTTCCATAAAAACTTTTTTTTAAAAATTCCCGGGAAAGGGAAAAGAGATTTAAAAAATGTTTGTTGAGGGTTTTTTTTCCAAATTCCCAGAAAAAATTTAAAATTTAAAATAAACCTTTCCCGGAAATTTTTTCCAAAAACCTGAAAAATAGAAATTTCAAAAAAGTAGGGTGTTCAAAGGGCAATTTCCCAACAATGTTATAAAGATCAAAAAAATTTTTCTAATTAAGAAAAAGAAATTTTGTTAAAATTGTTGCAATTTTATATGAGCTGTGCCCAAGAAAAAAACCCAAAACAAAAAAGCTTTTGCGACCGCGCAGTCTGAAATCAGGACCCAAATGCGTTTGCTACATTTTTCTCTATTTTAAAAAAGGGTTTGGGTAAGCGAACAAAAGGATCCTGATCAACTGGGGGATGGCGGGACCCTTTGCTGGCCCCCAAAAACCCCTTTAATGTTTTTTTTTGTCATGACTGGGCTCAAATTTTTAAATTTTTATAATAGGAATCGTAAGCTAAAAACGAATGCAAACTATAATCCATTGGCCCCGGGGCCGGAGCGGGCTCCAATACAGACCAGACACTGGCAAACCTATAGGAAATAAGCGGGTTTAGATACCAAAAGAAATATAAAAATTGTTTAAAGCCTTTTTTCTTGTTTTTTATTAATTTTATTTTGAAATTTTGTTAATTCTCGGGTTGAAAAATTTTAATTTTTAAAACAAACAACAAAATAATGGTATCGGGCAAAAAATTTGGGCAGTTTAAAAATTTTTAAATTAAAAAGGGAATTTAACATATACATGTATGATTCAAGTGCATTAAATTTGGTTAATTTATTTTTTTGGTTTTTTTGTTTTATCAAATTTTTTTTTCCCTTTAAAATTACTAAAATTGTAATTATTTTAATTTTTTTAAAGTAAATTTTGTGAGGGAAAAGTATAGTGCAAAAGAAAAATTTAAAAGGGGTTATAAAAAAAATTTTGTTTTTGAACATTTTTTAATAAACCCAAAAAATGTAAGTTAAAAGGTAAAAGAGTAAAAAAACATCTTAAAAATTTTTAAAAAAAAATTTATTTTTTTTGTGTTTTAATAATAAATGTCTTTTGGGTTTTGCTGATTGCGATCATTGGCCCGGGGGGGGAGAGGGGGAACCCTTAAAACCAGCCCCCCGGGGGTATACTCCCCCCCATCACATTCTCCTAACCCCCACCCACCCCCCCATGAAAAATTTAAAACCCCAAACCCAAACAGAGTACCCCCTTCGGGGGCACAAAATCCCG